TCTGTGTGGCTGGGCTCCCTCGCAGCACAGGGACCTCAGGGGACTTTGTTGTCTCACGTGGTGGCTGAAGCTGCGTCACCTTTTAGGACTTAAACTCAGAGCAGAGCAGTGTCAAGTTCCTCACATCCTATTAGTTAGCAGGTGTCTCCAGCCCACCAGATTCAAGAGGAGGGAGTGACAAGGTTCTGGAAGAGCACTGTGGATGAAAAAAGGGCTTCTGTGCAAAGTCATCTCACAGGGGCATCTGATCATAAAGTCTTAGCTGAGCAGGTCATGGTGGGGAGTCATATAAGTTTTTAGTAAACAGTTTATGTTTGCCTTTAGCAAGCCCTGTCCATTGTCTCTATGCATCTAGGTTAACGCACCTTTGAGATAAGTTTGAAACAACCACCTGGAGAGAGCACATAGTCTTGTTAACAACTATCCTGCCGTCCAACGCCTGCCTTGCTTCTCCCACCTCCATGTAATCTTCCTTAGTTCCCTCCTTAATCTTAAATGTGTGAAAGAAGCTGCAAACTGTTATTCTGCAGAGCATTTGAGATCTTGCTCCCCAGCGTATATCATCAGTTTCGTTCCAATAAACTCTTGTAAAAAAATTCTCTACAGATTTGGACATTTTTTACATCAACAGCATGAAGGACAGGACATGTTATTGCAGATACTATTAGAAAAACAAAATCCACCACAACCTCTACCAAGTTTCTCCCATATCTGAGCTATTGCAGATGTGCTAACTACTTGTCATACAGACATATGATAACTTCTATTTCTTGACTCCCATCAAAGGGAAAAAGGCACTTAAGATATGACTGAACACATCTTTCAAGAGAACTTCTGTTTTGATCAGGTGGCTCTGGGAACTAAATCTTTCACTTAAAATTTCATGTGTCTAATTGGACAAATTTTCCACAGACTAATTTCTGGCTCTGTATATTTCAGACCTTGTTTCTCTTCCACTGTCTTCCTCACACTGCAGTACACCTTCTGGCCTTGTGCATCTCTTTGTCACAATGCAGATGAGTTGGCACAGTGGGTAGCAGCAGCGTTTTTGGGAACGATTCCCAAACCAGAATGGCTGACAGTAACTTCGCTATACGTGAAACTGACTGCAAACCACATAATTATGTCCCACTAGACTGAAATGAAATGCAACTCTGACTCAACTTCTCCTTAGTCAGATCCTAAAAATACCCACAGTCATATCCATGCTAACAGAGGAGTCAGAAGAACGGGAAGAAAGTGGTCTTAACCAGTTGTAGTTAAAATAGCTTACTTCTGCCAACTTTGTGGGCACATGAATGATCACAGGAACCTACCGCCAGGTTCGCCAGCGCCGGGCAAGGGCGCTTGCAGGAGGAGGGCCCAGTGGAAGCCGCATTAGCTTCACAGTAACTGCACCTCTTCCTGGTAATACAGTGCAGTATTATTTAAGTATTAACTATTAATATTGGCTCCATTTTCTGACAGGTCTTCTTTTTGCGGTGGCAAGATGGCTACACTCAGCACCTCCAGCTTCACACACCAGGATTTACTTTGCACCAGCCTGGGTCACAAGTCCAATGGGCCAATCACCTGGCCAGGCGATTCCACCTGCGGGGTCACCAGCCTGGGCCACGTGCTGCATTATTGCAGCTGGAGGAGGTCGGGCTGAGGGTGGGTGGGAAGGATTCTTCCTACAGAAGAAATCTGGGGGAGTTAAAGGGTCTATAAATGCCTAACGAGAAAGTAGGTGTTCATTTACTGTGAGTGTAGCATAAACTTTGAGAAGAGACAGTGGAAGCAAGGGGGAAGGCCAGTGTAGGGGTTCAGAACTAGTCACCCCAAGGTGTGCTTCTGTGGTGTTGGGATTGCTTTGAGCTAAGGGCATCTTCAGCTGTGGGCTCAGGAGAAACTTCTGCCCCTCCCTCACCTGCCTTGAATAGGGGCCTCGCCCTTAATGGGAGATTGTCGAAGTGAACCTCTTTTGACCTGTCTATAGGGCAGGACAAACTTGTATTTACTAAACATCTGCTCTTCTCATCATTCTGCAAAGATCTTTTGAAGCCCCTAAGGCACTTACCTCATCCCTAGTTCAGAATGTCTTGCATACCAATGTTCTCTTTCTGTCTCTGAACCTCTCCAGCTTGTGGGGGTCTTTGACTCTCTCAATGTATAGTGGGTTTCCATACACATGTATGTATTAAATGTGGTTATTTTCTCTCTCTTTTCTTAAAACTGTTACCCAAGGATATGTTCATTGATTTTAGAGTGAGAGGAGGGAGAGAAAGAGAGAGAAGGAAATATCGTCGTGAGAGAAACATCGATTGGTTGCCTCCTGTACGCGTCCTGACTGGGGATTGAAACCACAGCCTTTTGGTGTATGGGATGACGCTCCAACCAACTGAGCCACCTGGCCAGGGCAAATTTGGTTATTTTCTCTTGCTAATCAGTCTCATGTCTATTTGATTATTAGAACAGCCAAAAGACCTTGAGTGTAGAAGAAAGTTTGTTTCTCCTTTACACCAGCCAGGAAGAGGGAGAGTGGAAAATGGAGGTGCTGAAGACCTCCTCCTACAAGCATGTCGCTGCCTTGAGGACCCCATCGGCCAGGGGGAGCAACGTGCAGCCTCAGCCATGCCCTGCTCTGTCTGCCGGCCCTGCTCCAGCCTGACTGCCTCCAGACTTCCTCTGCCTCTCTTCTGTCTTCTTCCCCAGACCTCTGTCCATCCTGGCCCATTTATCCTGTGCCTAATCTCTAATCACAACCTTGCAGGGTCAAGGGTAAGGAGATCAATAACACTTAAGCTAACAACCTTGCTTCCTTGATCCTGGCCTTTCCCCCTTTGCATCTTGGGTTCCAACTAAGTAAAATCCTAAGTCTTGGCACATAAGTCTTGAAACTGCTATTGGAGGGTTCTAATTCCCCACATCCACACAGAACTCTGTGGCTAGCCCCCTATAACCCTACACTCTCTAATAAGGTAGCCATTCCCTGGCCAGTGTGGCTCAGTTGTTGGAGTATCGTCCAGAAACCTGAAAGGCTGCAGGTTCAATTCCTGGTTAGGGCACATACCTAGGTTGCAAGTTTTGGTCACCAGTACGGGGTGTGTGCGGAAGGCAACTGATCAATGCTTCTTTCTCTCTCTTACTCTCTCCCACCCTCTCTCTTTAAAATCAATGAATATATCCTCTAGTGAGGATTTAAATAAGTAAGTAAACAAATAAATAAAAGGTAGCCATGTGTGACTACTACATTACATTGGAAATGTAGCCAATTGGAATTAAGATATATCATAGTGTAATACACACAGCGGTTTTTGAATACTTAGCATGAAAAAAATGTGAAATATCTCCTTAATATTTTTATATGTTGATTACATGTAGAATTGAAAATTTCTGGAATTATTGGATTACATGAAATATATTATTAAAGAAATTTCATTTGTACCTCTTTGCTTTTTAAAATGCAGCTATGAGACAATTTAGTGTGGCACAGGCGGCTCACAGGGCATTCTCCCTGAACAGCACCGCCCTGGAAGCGGTCACATGCACACGCACCCACATCATTTTTATTATAATTTTCAGAACTGGTGGAAGTGCCCTAAGTCCCATCCATGGGCTCTAGCCCCAAATCAGGCTCTCCGAGTCAGGAATTGATGGATTTCACCAGGCCCAGCGTCTGCCGCAGCATCACCGCACCGGTGGGGAAACTGAGCACCAAGATTCCGCACCCCTAGTACAACAAGCTGGTGCTGGGCATTGCCTCACGCTGCAACTCTGCCTCTCGAGGCTCCTCCCTCTCGAGAGGCAGGCCCGCCTCAGTTCAGGGAGATGTGAAATCTCTCCCGGGGGATGTATTTCCTCTGGACTCCTGTGGCCCTGGGATGGCTCTGGGACTGACCTGCGGAGGAGACCACGGTGGGTGGGCTCTAGGCCAGGCTGAACCCAGGGGAGGGGACCCGGGCTTTCAGTCCAGACGGCATAATCCCTGGCTCTGCCTCTCACCAGCAGGGGGCGTTTGCATTGCTTCCTCTTTGTCCCACTTCAAAAAAAGGTTCTTTGTAGCTTTCTACATTTTCCACTTTTTCATTAGATTATCTACCTGAGTTACACAAATTAGAAATATTTTCCAGTCAGTTATTTTTTCACCTATTCATAGACCACTTTTGGGGGGGTTGATTCTGTAATAACACATTTTAGATCCACTTGTAATAATTTAACATTAATTCAGTTTCATGTGCCTTGATAAATCATTGTTGTTCAATTACATATTCAACTAACAGTAAAATAACTGAATTTATGTAATTTCTGGAGAACATTCAGTATTCTTATGCACATGATATAGTTTAAACGAAAGACTTCACTAAGGGTTTTTTTTCCCTCTGTAATCTTGTCTGAGAGTTTCCTGATTGGTCTCTTGTACCTTTATTACAAAGTTTGCCATTTGAGTCGAATGAAAATCCTCTAAACTCCTAGGACCAGCCAAATAGAAGGAGCGAGGGTGAAGCTGAGGGTGAGGAGTCCAGAGCCCCTGCCGCTCTCCAGGTCTGCCGCTCAGGTGCTCTGCCACGGCTGTCCCGGCGATACACCCCGGCTCCTGGCTGCTTGCAGCTGCCAAGGAGGCCAGGCCCTTGTCTGCCCCCGATGCACAGCCGTCCTCCCCCGGATGCTGGCCTGGCTCTGGCTGGGGCTGGGCTCTAGGGGTCTCCTCAGGTCTTGCCCCCACCCGGCCCTCGGCCCGCTGCCACAGGAGAGCAGGTTCTTGCCATGGTTCCTGGGACTCATCTTCACGACTCGCTGTAGCTGCAGTCCTGACACCCCACATCAGCAAGTGGTGCTCCACCTGCCAGTCCTGGAACCCTGCCAGAGGATTCTGGAGATGCTGGTTGACCCAGCCTCTTGGGGAAGAAAGAAGGTTCTGAGCTGAGGGAGTGGTCTGGGGGTGGAGCCCCAACCTATTTATAGGATCATGGCACCTCAGAGGCCGGCAGGCTCACAGTCAGCCCTGTCTCACTGGAACATTGCTGCCAGCCTGGCAGGGAGGTGGCGTCTTGGCAGGAGCTCGGCCTGGAGCAGAGCTCTCAGAGTTGGCATGGAGAGACTGACATCTAGGGGACCACCTGGCCACCTTCCTCAGGTAACCCTTCCCCTCCCCCCCTCAGAGAAACACAGTGGCTGTGTGTCACAGAAGGAGGTCCCCCAGGCCCACAGCCCACCACTGCAGGCAGGGGACTTCCTGGAACTGGCTGGAGCCCAGCAACCACCCTGGGCATCTCGAAGCTCTGCCAGCCCAAATCCCACTCCACTGACGATTATGTGCTGTGCCCAAGGGTGATAAGGCTGCCGCTAGGCCAAGGAAGCTTACAAACTGCTCACCCCAACCCTGCCAGGTGCTTCCCCTCAGCCCAGATTTCTCACTCTTTGCCAGAGACCAAGGCTACAGGGACTGGCTCCTCAGCTCTCCCCAGAACTCCAGTCAGTGGCTGGGAAAGGGGCTAAGTGTGCCAAGCTCACTACCCTGAGCCATATACCTTATTTGCAAACCTTATCCAGCTTCTGAGCCTTGGCCCTGAGATCCAGGCCTGAGATCCAGACAGGCTGTTCCAGGTTGGTGCTCCTAGAGAAGACGTGCCTGGGGCAGGCCAGACACCAGGGAACCCTGGGGGAGATAGAGAGGAACCCGTCCACTGCAGGGTGGCATTGCAGTGTCCCTGGGAACCTGAGTTTGCCCTCACACCTGGGAAGCACCTTGCCTGCCACTGATGTGCCTAGACCTGGCTGAGTCCCCGAGACCAGGCTCCTGGTGCCCAGCCTTCAAGGCGAGCCTCAGCTGTGCCCTCACCCAGGTGCTTCCCTGCTGGAACGGAAGGCTGGAGCCCGCTCTGGCAGCAGGAGCATGGCTGGCAGGGCAGGCTGGGCATCTGGAACTCGCTTTGGTTGTGCCCACTGTGCTCGGCCTGACTCAGGAGGCGCAGGGCCTGAGGCTGTGCCGTGGCTCCCACTCCTCTCAGCCTCCTCACGGCCCCCTCTGTGGATCACTTGGTGCCAGCCGGGGTATTTTCTCTTTCTGCTGAAGGCACCAAGGTCACAGATACTCTGGACCTTGGTCTGGAGACTTCTTTGGACACATCCCCCATGATCCTCTCCACATGGAGAAGGATAGAGTGGGTCCCGGGGTCCCTGTACCAGGGCAGGGGGAGACAGTAGCTAGAACTCTCTGCAGGGAGGCACTCCCAGGATCCCACAGGTAGCTGGGCCAGGGCTCCCTGCTGGAACACTCCATGAGCGTCCAGGGTCAGTCATTGATTAAGGCAGGACTTCAGGTGAGACATTCTTTCAACGGGGAAAATGATGCTCCAGTGCCCTCAGGAGGAAAAAGGATGCTGTTAGTTAACATGTTAGTTCAATAATCATGTTTGGCTAAAATGAATCTATAAAATTCTAGTGTCTAGATATCAGTGGGGCAAAGTTGCATGGTTTTACAAAGAAGCTAAGTCCTGGGAGGGTAGAATGGCACAGCGGTGCGAGCTCTGGTCCCGAAGGCCTGGGTTTGAGTCTAACGATGTCACCTCCTAACTCTGAGTCCGAGGGCAAGGTAAGCATTCTGAGCCTCAGCTCTCTCATCGCAAATGAGAGGAAATGAGAATAGTATCCTGTGAGGTTGTTGGGAGGGTAAACCAAGTTCATAAATGTAATATGCTTAGTACAGCACCTAGAAGCATAACAAGCACTTAATAAATAACAATAAAGCAATTATCTAAAAACAGCATGCTTCTTGTTAAACATTTTGTAAGCATTTAGCCTCAGAACACTGCATGAGGTTGATACTATTATTAGTCCCACTACCCATAAGGAAACAAAGGCACAGAGAAGTTTACTGACTTGTCCACAGTCACACAGCAAGTAAGTCACACAGCAAGTAAGGGTTTAGATCCAGACAACCTGGCTGGGAGCCTGCCCTTGACCACACCACTCGTCTGCCTCTAGTAATGATCGGTCATAATTATTGTCAGAGCCCATCCTCCGGGTGCTCTGCGCTAGCGATGGGCTTAGAGGTAAAGAGAAATGGGGTTTTCTCCTAAGAAAAAATATCCTGTCAGGGGATGGGGGCTTTCTGAGGTTGAGAGGTTCTTGGTGACTGGAGATAATAATGCTCAAATTGGACAATGTGACTGGATGGAAACTGAGCATTTGGGTGCACTTCTTAGCAGCCCCAAGAGGCTTTGGAGGGAGGGCTGCCTCTGTCCTCCCCCCTCCGTTTAGAAGTGGGCATTGAAGCACGACGCCCGCAGGGCCTCAGGCTCCCAGCCAGCCCCCTCTCTGTGGCTGCGGTGGTGGAAGCTGGATGCAGGGAGGAAGGTGTCTAAAAAACTCGTTAAGTCCCTGCCAGTGTCCAGCTCTGGTTTAAGACCTGTAGAGCTGAAATGTTGCTGGTGCCGCTGGAGTGGATCCCCAGGAAGGGAGAAACAAGTCTACCTTACAGGGGGATTACATGTGCTCTGCCAGAAATATGGCAGCAATGACAAGGACACTCAGCATAGAGCCACGGGAGAGGGACAATGCAGGGACCCAGGGGAGAAGGGAGGGCGTAGGGGCGTGATAGCTGAGGGCTTTGCTGTGCCCCATTGTCCTCAAGGTTCTCTGTGGGGGGTGGAGAGTCATGTCCCATCGACACTGAGCCAGCCCCTGGTAAGGAGCTCCTGTGCAGAGCAGAGACCGGTTCCTGGTGGGAGGAGACACGTCCCGGTCACAAGCACCGACGTGGAACAGGTCCTGGGAGAGCGAAGGCAGCGGGCAGTCTGGTTTCCTCACACACTGTCCCCCAACTTCACCACGACAGGTGTCCACCTTGCGAGCATGGTGCCACCTCTGCCTTAGGCCTCAGGGCCTTATTCTAAGACACGTGTGCAGGGTGCCCAGAGAAGGCCACACAGCCAAGCTCGGGAAGAACAGAGACCTTGATCCCAGCAGTGCCAAGGACCTCATTCTAGGGGTTTGGGGCCACACCCCTAGTGCCCTGTCCCCAGCAGGACCCAGCCACTGCCACCTGCCCTCTGCTCTTCCTCCTGCCACCTTCTTCTGCTCATCTTCTCTGCCCCTCCCAGCTTCTGTCTACTCGGTGTCTTCTTCCTCCTCACGGAGCTTGTCTGTGGGCCTATGTGATGTCACCAGCGTCTTAATACCCAATGACCTTTCACCCACTGCTCACAGTAATGGCCTGATGCTTTTGGAGTTTCTAAATTTCCACCCGAGAGAGGGAATACCTGTGGCTATCGCAGACCACTGGGGTCCCCGAGGCTCAGCCTCCCCAGAGTCATGTGTCCACTTCCTGTCCAGAGGACGATGGCAGCAGGTTTACATGCTTCACCAAAGGGCTGCCCTCCTCAGGAGCTCTGGGGGTGGCTGACACCAAACTGACCTGCTCTTAGCCCTCAGTTCCCTGCTCTTCCCACTACACTGTGCAATCCTGTCTCTGAAGGGGAGTGAGTCCCACAGATTCCATCCCCCACCACAAAGCGATCAGCTGTTCCCTGACTGGTGCAGCCCAGAACCACTGTGCCCAGGTCAGTGGTGAGCGAAGGCTGTCTGGCCCCAGGGCACCTGGCAGCATCACCAAGCATCTCAGGAGAAGCCTCTGCTCCGATTGGCAGAGCTCATGCGTGAGCAGGAGGGACTCACTGGTCTATTTCTCTCCAGGGGGAGGCCTCTGCCTGCTGGCGGCTCACCATGAGGGTCCTGGAGGCGCGGGGCCTGGGCTGGGCTGACGTGTGTGAGTAAATGTCTCCCGGGGTTCAGGGCTTGGGGATGACTGGGTCCTATGGGAAAGACCCAGACAAGTGCCTTGGGACTGGGCTGGGCTAGGCTGGGCTGGGCTGCCACTGTGGCCTCCAGGGTCTTGGTAGGAAACTGGTAAGTGCCCTGGAGAGGGGTATGAGGAATTCTCTCTCACAGTGGTTCTCTTGGCATTGACAGTGAGCGAGGCAGACCCCTATGTGGTTTTACAGCTGCTAACTGCACCTAGAATAAAGTTTAAGACCAAAACCATCACCAACTCTAGTCATCCTGTATGGAATGAGACCTTCAGTTTCCTAATCCAGACTCAAGTCAAGGTAAGGGTCAGGCCACCCACCTGAGGATAGGCTGTACCTTGCAGAGGGAGGGTTCTTGGGGTGGAGCACAATTCCCTCCAGGGCTTATAGAAGGTGAAGGGTGCGTGTCTCTGTGCCCCAATCTGGATGTGCTGTGTGCGAGAGAACGCGTGAACCCAGCTGCCTGCGGGCCTCCAGCAGTTGGCTGGTCCTCTCTGTGCCCCTCTATGGCATGGAGACAGCAAGAATCCCCTCCTGACTTGGCCTGCTGTGAGGACAAATGAGATAATACACTCCTAGTACAGTGCCTGGTCCACACAGTGCCTCAGGGAGCCAGCAAAGCAGGGGTGTAGTGGGAGGGAGAATTCTTTGATAGAATTTTATTTCTTATAACAATAAAAATTAGCAGGTGGAAATTAGGAACTTTTCTGGGTTTTCTTTTACTGCTTGTAAGTTTTACTGTATTTTTCTTTTGAAGTGCAAAGTGTGGAGGCATAATAGTCTTTTCTGGCTCTGATTATCAAGTAAGGACTCAACAGAGGAGGGCCACAGCTACAAGTAAATAATGTGCTAAGTTGTTGTTCTCGGGTCCCTAGAATGTTCTGGAGCTGAGCGTCTATGATGAGGACCCAGTCACACAGGATGATCTTTGCTTCAGGTTTCTCTACGACATCTCAGAAGTCCCCCCCGGCAAGCTGCTCCAGAAGACCTTCTCCCTGCGTCCCCAGGTGCGCTGGGCATCCCCTCAGATCCAGGCTAAGGAGGTTTCCCAGTTTCTTCCATCTTTTCAGCTGCTGCTGAGTTGAGGTCACTCATACAGAGATGCAAACCCCTCTTAGAGATATTCACATTTTAATAGGAAAAGCAATGGCTTAACTTGACTGTTACAGAACTGAATCATTCCATGGAGAAATTTTACTGTCTGTGGGAGGAAGTTTTGGGTGGTGGAGAACTTCCTAATGTCCTCAAAACACAGCTCAGTGTAACTAACCTTTGGGGTATTTGACTCCTGCTTACTGCCTCTATCCTTCCTGTGCCCAAGGCCTGCTTTGTGACGGTCTCTGCGTTTTTTCTCCAGCAGGTGAAGGCTGGGGTGGGGGAGGCCAGACTTCTGGGGTCAGAACCCCCTCCAGAGGAAGATGAAATGGGCCCTGGGCATTCTCAAGCCTCTTTGGGCTTGCACCCCTCGTCTCCCTCACAGACCTGGTCTCTGCAGACTTACTAGCTGTGGTAACCTGGGCAGGCAGCCCACCTTTCCCTAAGTCTCAACTTCCTCATCTGTAAAATAGGAAGAATTGTAATACCTTGCCTCCCTTAGAGACTTGTGATGATGAAATAATGACTGTAAAAGAACTTCGTCAGCTCCAAAGACTCACATAAATGTTGACGACTTGCTCATCTTTAATTTCAGGGACAGGAGGAACTGGATGTGGAGTTCCTGATGGAAAAAACGTGAGTAGCCTTACACAGCCCAGGGAGTGTCCAAGGACCCAGGCTTCATTTAGGGAAATGTCATTGACCCAGATCTTCCCATTAGTCCATCCAGCCCAGGTTCCCCCATCCCTCATCTCTCCACTCCTGCCAGTCTGGGCAGTGGGGACCCTTTTAGAGAAATGAGGAGAGGAAGGTCAATGTTTTCTCTGCCCTGCTCTCTCTCCTCACCTTTCACTCTTCAGAAGCATCTTTCCGCACCCTGAACGGTATTCAGGATTTAGAGAACCCTCAGTGTCATCCAGGGAGCTGAGGGTGGAGCCTCGGCTGCAAGGGGGGCGGAGAGCTTTTGCCTTTGCAAGGCCAGACTGTGAATGGTTTGATTTTTCCAGGTCAGAATGTCCAGAAAACCTCATCACTAACAACGTCCTTGTGGTAACCATTACCTTCCCTGAGCTTGTGAGGGGGAGCTGAGGTGGGAGTGGGCCAGAAGGGATAAAGCAAGGACAGGGCTTTAGGGTAAAATCACCCCTGGCCTTTCAGCTAGGTGGTCACGTAGGAAGGTGGTCAGAGGCAAGGGGCTTGGAGGGGCCTGGGGCTAAAGGGAACATGGAGAGAAGGAGGCTGAGGCTATGCTGTGAGAAGGTTCTGGCCCAAGTCTGTATGATGCATTTAGTCACCTGCGCTGAACTCACAGTTTTTAGCCCTGGAAGAGGAAGCCCTGGTGGGAAAGTTGTGCAGGCCAGGCCTGGCTCATGTTGTTAATATGGAGGTAACTGAGGCTCAGAGGGAGTTTCCAGGGTGGTGGGCTTCCTGGGGATAGGGTCGGGGATCAGTCAGCTCTTCCTTGAGGCAGACAATAGAGAGCCCTGGTCAGCTCTCCTAAAACACAGCAAGGTCACAAAGCTGCAGTGGGTAGGAGTGGACACACGATGGTCAAAGATGCATTAGAAGCTTTCTACTCAACGTGTTGTCCCCGGACAAGCAAGCTGACCCGGCAGCAGGACCGGGCCTGGCATGAGGCGAATAATGTGCCTAGAGCCCCTAATTGAAGGAGGCACCAGCTCAGGGCCTGTTTGATGGACTAGTATTACTTTTGCAAATACAGGCAATACCTCGCTTTATTAGGCTTCATTTTATTGCATTTGCATTTTTTACAAATTGAAGGCAAGGCTTCCTGTCAGCCAAAAGATCACGACTCACTTTACTGTGATACTCACTTTACTGTGGTGGCCTGGAAGGCATCGTGCAATAGCTTCGAGGTATGCCCGTGCACATTAAAATAGTCATATGATGGCAGCTGCCTCTCATCTGAGGTCATGGAGACCACGGGTGTATTGATAAACTCGGCAGTTCTACAGGTGGGGTCAATAGCAAGAGCTGAGTAGGCTATAGCTCTCAGCTGGCAAGCATTCCAGAGAAAATGCCACAGGTCCACTTGGCAAGTCAGTTCAGTGGGAGACAACCAGGAGGTACTCGGCACTGTAGTTGCTAAAATGTTAAGGGCTGTTCTGATCTGTTCTGTTATCCTGTAGACCAGCAGTTTGTATAACACTCTTCGGGAGCAGTTGTAATAGAATGAATGCATCCTCCAGGCTGAGGCTGTAGAGAAACCTAGAGAAGAAAAACACATGCCTGACACCTGGGGGACCTGCAGAGATTCCAGAAGTTTGGCAAATCTAGGGGAGCTCTGGGGTGGGTGAGACGGGGCTCTCCTGGCTCTTCCAGGACGCCTGGCTTAGCAGATACAGCGCAGCGGAGGTGGGGCAAGGGGTCCGGGCCCACTCTGGACCCCACTTCCTGCTCTGTGTGTGGTGGATTTGGGATCTTGGGGCTCAGAGGGTGAGGTTGAGAGGACCTCAGCTCCCCTAGCAGAGCCCCCTGCCCATGATGTGATCTGCCTCAGGCTCGGGAGCTGTCATGCCTGGATGTCCGTGTGGAGAGCATGAAGAGCACAGTCGTGGTCTCAAGTGAGACCTGCTCAGAACCAGGTCTGACTTCCGCCTGGAATGTGGCAGGAAGGGTTAGATGGGGGTGGGTGGGAAACAGGTACAGGGCAGGTGAGCAGCAGGGCAGAGCTCGCCACTTCCTTCTTGCTCACAGAAGGCCAACAGGTCTCCTCTGGGCAGGAGGGTCCCCCTAGCCTGGGGGAGGGCATGTCACAGGACGTGGGAGTCCCATGGGGTTGGAGACCTGGCAGGCTGGGGCAGAGATTCTCCAGAATCCTGTTTGGCATGGCCCAGCCACCTGGGCCTCCCACCTGTCCAGGCAGGGGTTCTGGGTCCCCGTGGGTCTCTTGCTCCTCTTGTGTTAACCTTCCTCCCCTCTCCCTAGATCAGGACGACCTGGAGCTGGAGCTGGTGCTGAAAGGGTCATATGAGGACACACAGACATCTGCCCTGGGCACAGCCTCTGCCTTCCGCTTTCACTACTTGGCGGCTCAGGAGGCAGAGTTGAGTGGGCGCCTAAAGGTAGGTCTTTGGGTCTTGACCCTGGAGCTCTCCCACCAGCCCAGCCTTGGGCCGGCTCCAGCTGCTGCAGGCCCCTCCCGGCCTGTCCCCTGCCAGGCCAGCCCCCTGTGGCCTTGTCAACCTCCCTGAGTTAGGCCCATGTCCTTGGCAGACAGGAGGATTCTCAGAGCCTGCGGAGGGTATGGGGCGGGGGTGGTTAACACCATGTCTGTCTTTGCTTGAAACCTTTAATGGCTTCTCCAATGATTCTCTTAGAATAAAATCTTATGTTGATGCCTACAGATGCTGCACAGCCAGGCCCCTGCCCACCTCCACTGCCTCATTATGATCCTCATTCCCCCTCATTTATGATGCTCCAGCCATAACTTGTCTCTTCTCACTTTCCTGTCCTCCTCTGGCTCCGTCCAAGACTGCCTGCTCCTCCTCTTCTTCCTCCCCCTCCTCCTATTTTAGATATCAGCTCAAATGGTTCCTCTTCAGAGGGGCCCTCCTTGACTCCCCATCTTAAATAGACCCCATGCATCCGGCTTCTGGTTTCTCTGTCTTATCACACCACTCATTTCCTTTACAACACTTATTAACATCAGTTCTTTACCTGTTTCTTTATAAATCATTTGTAAATTCATATACAACTTAAAACAATAACTAAATACTAGCTATTATTACACTAAATAAATAGTAACTATTATTTTTGTAATTAGCATTATTATAAAATTTTTTAAATTGATTCTTTTTTTAAGGATTTTATTTATTTATTTTTAGAGAGGGAAGGGAGGGAGATAGAGAGAGAGAAATATCAATGTGCGGTTGCTGGGGGTCATGGCCTGCAACCCAGGCATGTACCCTGACTGGGAATCGCATTATTATAATTTCAATAATGATAAATATTATAATTATTTTTGTATTATGAGGGAAGGTCTGCCTGGATCACTGTCTAGATGCTCAGTACGGATTTGTTGAGTGAATGAATGAATATTTCCCTCCAGAGCTCCAAAAGCAATGGCTGGAACTCAGACAGCTCAGCTGGGCACCTCACTGTGCCCCTGAGGCCCGTGACTGTGGGGAAGGAGCTGGCCGTTGATGTTCCTGCTACAGATGTAAGTGGCCTCCACTGGGAGGGAAGCGCAAGTGAGCATGAAGATGGGGAAGCCCGAGGCCCCCAGTGGGTACTCACATTCCCTTCAGGGTCTAGGACCTTCTGAGCAAGGTCTCTTGCTTTCGTTTTAGGCCCCAGGAGTGAAGCTACAGCTCAAGGCTGAGAGCTGGTAAGGGACATTCACATCTGTTGGGGACAGTGAGGGGTGGTCGTGGGACAGGAGAGTGCTGTGGGAAGTGTGCTCCTTGGGGTTGGGAGCAGGGAGGTTATCTGGCAGCAGTTGTGGGCTTGGCCAACCAGGGTCTGAGCTCTGCAGGTGCCCCCTGACCCTTGGATCCTCTGCTGCCCCAGCCCTAAGGACCTGGCCGTGCGCCTGGGCTTCGATCTGTGTGCAGAGGAGAAAGCCTTCCTGAGCAGGAGGAAGCAGGTGGTAGCCAAGGCCCTGAAAGAGGCCCTGCAGTTGGACAGAGACCTACAGGAAGATGAGGTTTGGGGAATACAGGGGCGAGGGGGTACAGGCATCTTGGACTGGCCTTAAGGGACTACCTGATTCCTATGCCCTCTCAAGACACTGCAGTCAGCAGAGACTGGGGAGTGGGGATATGGGAGGAGATACGGGGTGTGGGTAAGCCCTGGGGTTCTTCTTACTCCCTTTGGAGCTCTGTCCACATCTGAGAGTGGTCACTTCCTGGGGAGGGGCTGGGTGCTGCCTCTAGCTCTGACTCCCTCGGGCCCTGACCAACGGTCCTGATCAGGTCCCTTTCCTGGAGGCAGGAGGCAGCTCTATCCCTCCCTGTCCTTGTTAGGCCAGCCTGTGTCTTTGTGTGGTCCAGGTCCCCATCGTGGGCATCATGGCCACAGGAGGAGGTGCCCGGGCCATGACCTCTCTCTATGGCCATCTGCTGGCTCTGAAAAAGCTGGGACTCCTGGACTGTGTGACCTACTTCAGTGGCATCTCGGGAGCTACATGGTGAGAGCCCTGGGGACTGGAGCAGCAGAGGGTGACCAGGCCCCAGAAGAAAGTGGGGTGGAAGTCAGAGAGACCCTGTATATGGGGGAAGACAAGTAGGTGTGAGCAGTAAGCTCTGCTGGGTACCAAGCAGTTTTCTCAAAAGGGAAGAAACAGACATTACAGAGGTCCCACCACGAGTGGGGCATTACAGGATGTTCACTGTGTGCAGCCGATTCAGAAGGAGTTGAGTCTGAGTCTCTCCAACACCACTGACTGGCTGGGCGCCCTCGACCGACTTATGTCCTCTGATTCTCAGTTGACTCATCTCCAAAATGGGGGTGGTAATAGTACATCCTCCACAGGACTGGAGTGGGCCAGCCCAAGTAAAACACTTAATGGGTTTGACATTTTCCACGAGCTCCAAATTGATGGCTCTTTTTTCTTTCATTGTTATTAATTCATTTAATACTCACAAAACTCTCCAGGGCAGTTTCCCTTATTGTCCCTACAGTACAGACGAGGAAACTGAGGTCAAGAGGTTCTATTAGACCTGAAGACAAAATTGCCTCCCTACACCCCACCCCGCCCATAGTGAGGTGGAACTTCTCCCTGTTAAGAGATGCATTCCTTGGAGTCTTATGGAAATATGACTTCAAAGGAGGAAAAGAGAAGTCATTTCCTCAGAGGAGTTTAGGTGACAGCCATTGACGAGCAGTCCCAGAGGGCTGCAGGACAGACCTGTGAGGCCGGGAGCAGGTGGAGAGCGGTGCTGCAGCGTACAGCAACTACTAGCCGTGTGTGGCTATTGACCGCTTAAAATGTGCCTAGTCCAAACTGAGATGTGTTATAAGTATAAAATACGCAATGAATTTTGAAGACTGGGTTTGGAAAAATAAATTTTATCTTAATTTTTTATATTAATTACATGTTGAAATAATTTTGGTGTATGTTAAATTAAATATATTATTAAGATTAATTTTTACTCTTAAATTTTTTTAAGATTAATTTTGATCTCTTTACTTTTTGAAAGTGTGGTTACTAGGAAATTTTAAATTATGTAAGTGATTCACATATATTTATATTGGACAGCGCTGATCCAGGAGAGAAAGCCCTGAGACATTTTCCAGATAGGCGTGGCTTTGGCTGCAGGAGCAAAGCTTTGGGAGAAGTGGAGGGTGGAGTTGCAGTGACCCATGCTGAGCCTGAGGATCCTATTGTACTGTCCCTTTGTTTTCCAGGACAATGGCCCAACTATATGGAGATCCCGAGTGGTCGCAGACAGACCTCCAGGGACCTATTCAACACACCCGGGAGCAACTGGCCAAGAGCAAGTTGGAAGCCTTCTCCCTAGAGCGCCTGACAGCCTATCGCCGGGAGCTGGAGCTGAGAGCGAAGCAGGGGCAGCCCACAACCTTTGTGGACCTGTGGGCTCTCGTGCTGGAGTCCATGCTGCACAGCCAGGTAGGGCCCCTGCGTGTGTGGGTTGGAATGCCAGAAGAGGGCTGGTGCGCCCTCGCAACCAGCTGGCGCGCATGCTCATTTTCTGCAGGGTAAGAGTCCTGGACCCTTGGTTAAATAATGTGGGAGCCGACTTTTTGAGTCAGGCTATTCTTCATTTAATTTGCCATGAAACTGAAATTCCTGGATCTCCCAACAGCTAGGAACCAGACAAACCAAAGTCAGTTGAGCAGACAAAGCTTTTGCATGTATTTGAGTCAGAGAGATTGCTCCAAGAGTCTTTATTTTATTTATACTGCATTACGAACTATAGCTTTCTCTTCATCTTCATGGTAATGTTAAAAGCACAGGCTCCTGTACCAGATGCCCTGGGTTCTACTCCCTGTGCTTCGTACTAGCACTGTGTCCTTAGGCACGTTATTTCAGCTCTCTGTGCCTCCATTTGCTCATCTGTGCAATAGGAACGAGAATGGTGCTTACCTGGCAGTGCCGGTGTGAGCACTCAGTGGTAACTTGCGTAGAGAAAGCGTTCCGTGTTAGCTGGTATATTTCTTTACTATTATCCTAACACCATTAAGACAAAACTGAGCATATAAATTTCTAATGCATTGCTTCTTTAAGGAAAGCTTAGTAAGGTAACTACTGAATCTTACATCAACTGAGACAATGATTAAAATCAGTGAATTTTTTACACTATTGTTTTACTACATATCTGAACAAAGTTTCTTTTAAAGCATTTAAAACAACTGAAACACAAGAAGTACATTTAACATGCCTAACAAAAAGTAAACTATCAAATATATTAGTAGAGGAAAAAGTCTTATCTTTATTATCTTTGGGTATCAAGAGTTTGACCAAAATGCATATTATGTAAACCAACAAAAAATGAATGTGCTTTAATTTTTTTTAAAATTGTGGGTAAAGATTTTTATCAATATGGTATATGATGTGGTATGTTAGTTTTTTAAAAGATTATATTTGTTTTTAAAGAGAGGGGAAGGGAGGAAGAAAGAGAGGGAGAGAAACATCAATGTGCAAGAGAGACATTGATTTGTTGCCTCTCCCATGCCCCCAACTGGGGACCTGGCCCGCAACCCAGGCATGTGCCCAGACTGGGAATGGAACCAGCAACCTTCTGGTGTACAGGCCAGAACTCAATCCACTGAGCCACACCGAAACAGGGCTGAATTTTTTTAAACATGTTTTATTCTTGCTGGCAAGCACAATGCTACTTGGAAGTTACCAGCCATTCTTATTTTTTATTTATTAATTTAAAATCTTATTATTAAGTATTTATTATGACAATCTTCAGACATAAGAAAATGCATAAGCATAAAGAATAATGTGATGAATATTCAGGATCTTACCAACCAGCCTAAGAAGTGAAATGTAGCAGAAAGAGTTAAAGCCCCCAGTAGACCCCTCCCCACTCCCATTTCCTCCCACCCCCAGAGGTAACCACTATTCTGAGTTTAGGTTTATGATCACACTCATGTCTGCAATCTGTATACTTTATTATATTATATAATATATAATTATATAACATATATTTTATATACCTTTCTTACATAATTTTTTATAAAGATTTTATTTATTTTTAGAGAGAGGGGAAGGAGAGGAGAAAAAGAGGGAGAAAAACATCAGTGTGTGGTTGCCTCTCACACGCCCACTAAGGGGATCTGGCCCACAACCCAGGCATGTGCCCTGACTGGGAATAGAACTGGAGACCCTCTGCTTCACAGTCCTGCACTCAATCCACTGAGCTACATCAGCCAGGGCTTATATACTTCATTATATACACTTTTACTATGTGTACTTTTATTAAAAATATATATCCTTAAGAAAAATACATTATTTACACAAATGGTTTTGTACAAGTCTCCCAATGCACATGTGTTAGAGATTCTCTATGCCTTGAAGCTGTACACCCAGCAGTGCTCTCGTTAGGCCACTGGGTACATGTACCTTCCACTTTCCTGGCTGTTGTCAAGTTGTTCTCCCAAAGGGTTGTAGCAATTCACACTTCCACCACCTGCGTATTACAGTTTCTTTTTTCTACACACTCTTCAGATTTTTAAATTTTTGTTTATTTTATGGGTGGGAAATGAAATTTTATTGTAGTTTTTCATTTCCTCGGTTTTTAGTGAGATTGATCATATTTTCAAATACATTTGTCATAGAGACTTCCTCTTTTGTGGATTACCTACTCAAATTCTTCTACATTTTTCTGTTTAATTCATCTTTTTATATCATTTTATAGAAATTCTTTTTATATTTTGGATATTAATCCTTTATCAGTTCTAATAGATTTTGATGCATAATTTTAATACAATTCAATGTATCATTCTCTTCCTTCATGGTTTGTGCTTTTAGGGTCTTAAGAAATCTTTTTCCCTCCTAAAGTTATAAAATGTCTTCTCACATATTTGTATAAAAGTTTTAAAGGTTTGTCTTTCACAATTAGACCTCTAATTTGCCTGGAGTTTATCTTTAGGTGTTATGTGAATGGGAATCCAGTTTTATTTCTTTGCATATAGTTAGCAAACTTCCCCAATATTGCTTATTGGATGTTTTTTCTCCACCGATCCACCTTACTACTTCTGTCATGGGCCAGATTTCCTGCAGCCACAGCCTCTCCCTGAGCTCCTGTTCCACTCTCGTGGGACTGGTTCTCTACCCCGGGCCAACCAACACTGGCTGGTTACTCTACCTTTATAATATATCTCGGCATTGGACAGGGCACATTTGCCCCCATCTGCCCCTGGGTTCTTCTCAGAATGATCTGGACTATTTTTGGCCCCTTGCTCTTCTGTACATGTGATAGAATCAGCTGGTCAAATTTCATGGTAAATGTTGCTGGAATTTTCATTGAAATGTCACTGAATTTACAAAACTAATATAATTACTTGAAATATTTTTATTTTATGAATATATCCTATATGTTCTTTGCATCAGCTGTTTAAGTTCATGTTCCATTTTGAGGGCATATTTAAAATATATTTTATTGATTATGCTATTACAGTTGTCCCATTTTCCCCCCTTCACTCCCCTCCCCCCTGCACACCCCCTCCCACCCACATCCCCCTTTAGTTCATGTCCATGTGTCATACTTATAAGTTCTTTAGCTTCTACATTTCCCATACTATTCTTGCCCTCCCCCTGTCTATTTTCTACCTACAATCTATGCTACTTATTCTCTGTACCTTTTCCCCCTCTCCTCCTCCCACTCCCCTGTTGCTAACCCTCCATGTGATCTCCATTTCTGTGGTTCTGTTCCTGTTCTAGTTGTTTGCTTAGTTTCTTTTTGTTTCTGCTTTAGGTGTGGTTGTTAATAATTGTGAGTTTGCTGTCATTTTACTGTTCATAGTTTTTGATCTTCTTTTTCTTAGATAAACCCCTTTAACATTTTATATAATAAGGGCTTAGTGATGATGAACTCCTTTTACTTGACCTTATCTGAGAAGCACTTTATCTGCCCTTCCATTATAAATGAAAGCTTTGCTGGATAGAGCAACCTTGGATGTAGGTCCTTGCCTTTTGTGACTTGGAATACTTCTTTCCAGCCCCTTCTTGCCTGCAAGGTCTCTTTTGAGAAACCAGCCGACAGTCTGATGGTCACTCCTTCGTAGGTTACTGTCTCCTTATCTCTTGCTGCTTTTAAGATTCTCTCCTTATCCTTGGCTAATGTAATTATGATGTGCCTTGGTGTGTTCCTCCTTGGGTCCAACTTCTTTAGGACTCTCTGAGCTTCCTGGCCTTCCTGGAAGTCTATTTCCTTTGCCAGATTGGGGAAGTTCTCCTTTATTATTTGTTCAAATAAGTTTTCAATTTGTTGCTCTTCCTCTTCTCCTTTTGGTACCCCTATAATTCAGATGTTGGAACATTTCAAGATGTCCTGGAGGTTCCTAAGCCTCTCCTCATTTTTTTGAATTCTTGTTTCTTCGTTCTTTTCTGGTTGCATGTTTCTTTTTTCCTTCAGGTCCACTCCATTGATGTGAGACCCAGCTTTCTTTCCATCACTATTGGTTCCCTGTACATTTTTCTTCATTTCACTTATTGTAGCCTTCATTTTTTTCATCTAATTTTTGGCCAAATTCAACCAATTCTGTGAGCATCCTGATTACCAGTATTTTGAACTGTGCATCTGATAGGTTGGCTATCTCTCGGTCACTTAAAAGGATTGGTTCTGGGGCTTTTATTTCTTCTTTTGTTTGAGCCATCTTTTTGGTCTGGTCGTGCCTGTTCCATATGAGGGGTGGAGCCTTAGATGTTTAATGGGACGGGGCAATCCAGTCACTGGGTTGTGACCCTGTATGTGGGGGTAGGGTCCAAGAGGGAACAGTGGTGCTTGCTCTGCTCTCTGTGGATTTCAGTCCCTTCCGCCACTTCCCCCAAGCAAACTGGACCTTTCTGGTGCTGATTCCCATGTGGGTGGGCTTGTGCACCCCATGGGTCTTTCCAGTGACCTCTCCTGAAAGACTGGGAGTTTCTCCCTGTGCCTCAACCCCCACAGGTGTTTTCAGTCAGTGCCCCAAGGCTGTATTTCCCAGCACTGTGATCCTGGGTTGCAAGCAGTGCCTTGCTTCACAATTGCTGCCTCGCTGGGTCTGCGGGTTGTCGCCCCTCGGCCGGGGTTTGCCAGTCACCACTTGCACGCCCAGGGTCTGCCCGCTGCGGTCTTATGCTCCCGGTCCCAACGCTATTTGTGCCATGGGACCCCTCTCCGCCCAGTTGCCCAACTCTGCCCCTCCTACCAGTCTGGATGAATGTGTATATTTTAACTCCTTGGTTGTCCTACTTCCATACAGTTAAATTTTCTGTCAGTTCTGGTTGTTATTCTGTTTCTAAATTGTTGTTGTCCCTATCTTGGTTGTGCGAGGAGGCACAGTGTGTCTACCTATGCCTCCATCTTGGCCCCCTCTGATTTTCTTTAATTTTGGACAAAAGGCTTTACATACTCACTAGTCCCATCCTGTACAGCACCCTGCCCACATCAACAAGCCACCAACACTGCACCCAGGCTCCCTCACTTCAAGTGGGACCCTTGAGCCATCAGAGTGGCTCTGCTGAGTTAGGGATCCTCAGATGGGAAAGGGGTGGGCAGGGTTGGAGATCCAGAGCCTGCCGGGACTTCCTGGTGAGCCGTTAAAGGAAAAGGAGCCCTGTTTCAGTCCGTGAAGGGCTGTGCTGAGCCTTTTCCAAGCCTTTCCCCGGGGCAGAAATTGAGCATCTGCCATAAAAGGACACATTTGCCCTCATCATACATGTCATAACCAGGCAAACAGGATTCCCAACTAAAAGGACTTTGAGAATGGGAAGTGCAGATATTAATCAAGCCCCTCCTTTCTCAATACACACGCACACCCACACCTACAGGACTGATGTGCAGATAGGACAAACCTTCAATGCCTGCAGGGTGAGACGTGGGGAGGAAGGGTTCTCCTGTGGTTTCCCTTTAACTCAGGTCACACTGGGTGTCACTGATCAAGTGGAGAAGAAGACTGTGGTTGACACATGAGTGTGCTCACCGAGTGACAGAGGGATGACAGGGAAGAGGAAGTTCACCAGTGGGCTGAGGCTTTGCCACTGTGGGAGGGGGACTCCTCGCTGGCTGGGCCGGGCTAGAAACCCGGGACACACACCTGGCCGATCCTCAGAATCACCTGGGGGGATTTCACGAGGCAGATTCCTAGGTGGCCTCTGTTGATTCTCAGAACAGACCTAGTCATCTCTATATGTGACGTGCTTTCCAAGTAAATCTGAGGACAAGAGTTGATGCGGCAGGTCCAGCTCCTGAGGGAGGTGCCTTCCAGCGCAGAGAGCCTAAGAGAGGGATGGCACGTTCGTGGCACAGGTTCTGCTCCGTCAGACACAGTCCAGGGCCTGTGGCAGCAAAGCCCCTCCCAAGGTGGGGCTCCAGGCAGCCACCACCTTGCTGATGCTTGAGATGAACCCTGTTTGCCACTCTGGGCCAGGATAGAATGAGACCTTTCTGTGCCCCTAGAACTCCCCAGGAGGCAAGCCCCCATTCCTCGCCACCAAAGCCAGAGCCCAGAGTGCTATTGGAGAGAAAGTTAGAGACAGAAGGCGAAGGAGTGCTGAGGGGGAAGCACTTGGGAGGGGCTGAAACCCGACCTGCATTAGGTGAGCCTGGAAGGGGCAGCCCACCCTGGGCAGAGCTCACAACGTGTATTAAAGAGGATTCCTTTTTTATTTTATATTTATTATTTATTTATTTATTTATTTATTTAGCATTGAGGTAAAATTGCTGTGCTGTATTTTAACTGACTTTTAAATGGGCACAGGGGCTAATACAAATAGCTTACATATTCGATATACAATTCCTACTTATGACAAGAAACATGCTTATGGGAGAAATTTGCCAGCTTAAAAGAACAACTTATTTTCCTCACTCTTACAATTACCTGGAGAACACATTAGGGTCCAAATTCCCTTGTAGATGAGCTCCTCACTGTCTCTTTAGGCAAAAGTCGAGAACATCAGATAACACATTTTTTCCTGACTACTCCCAGAGAGCATTTTCTGTGTGCTCCCCAGCTCCCCTAGTTTGCACCAGGGGTCTCCTCTCATTGTTCCTCTAACCACTACTACCCTTTAATCGTAAATTAATTAAGACCGACTGTAAAATCTGTATGGCCTTCTACCTTTGAAAAGGTTTTGTGGGAGTTTCACCCTGCACCCAAAGCTGTGGCGGGCCAGACCCCTGCTGGCCCCTCAGGCCCCACACCCACCCAGGCCGAGCTGTTGGTTCCACCTCCAGCGCCTCTCCACCCTCGCTGCCCCTGCCTCAGCTCAAGCCCTCTCTCATCCCTCCCCGCAGTTTCCCTCCTCGCCTTCCTGTCAGTTCAACTTCCCACCTAAGAGGGGATTCCTGTGTCCTTTCTGGAAAGCAGTTCATGTGCACCTTTGGATCTGTGTGTTGGGGTGTGCATCCACTGCACCCTTTAGCCCATAAAGATGGGCCACTGGAACCACAGGATGCAGGGGTGGGGTGTCACTGTTCACATTGTAGTCCTTGTAAATGGCACACTCTGAGGCAGGAGCAGTCACTGAACGTGTGCAGCCACCCACACCCCCCAAATCCTGAGGGGGAGTTACCTCTTCACCCCCAGCCTGTGTCCCCACCCCACCCTGTCCTGATGGAACACCCTGTCTCGAGGGCGCTCCTAGCCTCAGTGAGGCCCTATGCCCCTCTACCCCAGGTGACGGACCAGAAGCTGTCAGGACAGAGATCTGCGCTGGAGCGGGGCCAGAACCCTCTGCCCCTCTACTTGAGCCTCAATGTCAAAGATAACAATCTGGAGACGCTCGACTTCAAGGGTACAGTCCTCAGTCCTGTCCACTCCACACCCCCAGACACGTGTTGGTGTGCATGCAGATGTGCACACACGGATGCTCACACACGGACATGCACACACAACATACATGCACACCTACTCTGCGCCCTGTGGGTCCCCAGAAAATTCAAATAGCAAACTGCTGCCTAGATGGAAGGGTGGTGGTGCTGGTGGGCTGAGGAGCCAGACCCTGGAGCTTGCTGTCCTGGAGGTGTGGGGGGGTGCTGGTGGGATGTAGTCAAGGGGTGGGTAGGGGAAGGAATGGTCAGCCCAGGAGTCAGCCAGGCAGGGAGGAGGCTGAGGCCTGCTGGGGGCAGAATCTTTGGCTCCTACCAGAACAGGGGCTTCCCCTGCCCATTCTTCTCTCATTCCCACCTCTCCCTCCTGCCCCTTAGAATGGGTCGAGTTTTCCCCCTATGAGGTCGGATTCCTGAAGTATGGAGCTTTTGTCCCTGCGGAGCTCTTCGGCTCTGAGTTCTTCATGGGGCGTCTGATGAAGAGGCTGCCTGAGTCCCGCATCTGCTTCCTGGAAGGTGAGGGCTGGTCACTCTGAGGGCCCCGGCCAGGCCCGTGCTGGGCCTCCCTGCGCGATGTGACTCCTGCACTCGGGTCTGGCAGAGCCCCCGGGTTGAGGGCCGGCACTGGGCTGTAGGGAACAGGCATCTCAGAGGCAGCCTCCTGCCCCTCCTATTTTCCACCTGCACTTGAGGGTGGGGATCACTGGCTTCTAAGCGAGAGGAACAGGGTGTTGAGAGCAGAGGCTGACCTTTCGTGGGGGCTTGGCCTCCAGGTATCTGGAGCAATATTTTCTCCCTAAACTTGCTGGACGCCTGGTACGACCTCACCAGCTCTGGTGAAGCCTGGAAGCAGCAAATCAAGGACAAGATCAGGAACCTGGGGAGGAAAGGTAGGCAGCAAGGGGGACCTGGGGTGAGGCCACTTCCCCTGCAGATGCTGGGGGTGGGGGCTGTCAGAGGGGGGCAGGACCAGGCATCTCCAGGCCCCTCCCTGGACCGACGTCTGTTTCTCCGGGCCCAGAGGACGCCCCTGCCTCCTCGAGGACCTCTTCGTGGCTGGAGGACTTGTGGCTGCAGCCTGGGACGGCACTGGCCCGGGCGTTTAAGGGCTTCCTGACAGGCAGGCTGCTCTACCAGCATAGCTCCAACTTCCTCCAGGGCCTGCAGCTGCACCAGGACTATTGTGACCAGAAAGATTTCTCTACCTGGGCAGGTAAGGGCCTCTGCCGTATATCCTCGTGTAATGGGGTTAGACTCCTGGGTAGAGATGGTCCATAGCTGGGACCAGTAGAGGCCTCGGAGGTCATAGCATCCAGTACTGGGGTATGGCCTGGAGAAGGTCTTGGGAAGGGCAGGTGTCACGTGCATGCAGGAGTGACACCAGAGGTACGAAGGGGACATGGAGGCAAATGCAATATGAAGGGGGGGCACTGTGTGTGGATGATCTGTGATGGAGGGGCTGCCCCTGACCATCTCTGCCTCCCTCATCAGACAGCCAGCTGGACTCCAGCCCTGGCCAGCTGACCCCACAGGAGCCCCAGCTCTGCCTGGTGGATGCCGGCTACTTCCTGAACACCAGCTCCCCCTCCATGTTCCGGCCAGGCCGCAGGCTGGACCTCATACTCTCCTTCGACTACTCCCTATCCTCGCCTTTTGAGGTGCTTCTGGTTACTTAGCCAGGCTGAGCTCCAGGGGCAAGCAACAGGTCCACTGGGCCACTGGCCCAGACCACCTGTGTGCCCAAGGGGAGGGAGAGGTGACAGACTCTGACCCACATGCTCCTTCTAGGATCCTTTGTTGGGAAGGGCTGTGGAGGTGCTGGGGCCCCAGGGGAACAGCTGATCAGAGCTGGGAGGGGCCCCTGGCCTGTCCATATCTGTCCCACCAGAGCCTCCCTGGAGACTCTAGGGACAGACGGGGTAGGGCCGTGATGCAGAAGTGTTCCCCCACTGAGGTCCTCTAGGCTCTGGGACTTGAACAACCCAGCAACAGCAATCCCAGATGGGGGTGGGAGGTGGGATACCCCACCTAAAGACTTTTACCAAGCAGCATTGCAGACCACTGGCATCCTTTGCCGCCCTCTGAGCTGAACTGGGCCACGGAGAGGAACCGGGCTGTGTTGACACTGAGCAATCGGTTTGGGCTGCAGCCATCCCACATTTTATAGAGCACTGACCCGGGATGACCAGGAAGTAGCGGTTCTCTTTGGGGCTCTCTCCCCAACCAGACACTGCAGCAGACTGAGGTGTACTGCCAAGGCCGAGGGCTGCCGTTCCCCCGCGTGGAGCCCAGCTCCCAGGATCAATGCCAGCCCAAGGAGTGCCACCTCTTCTCCGACCCCACCTGTCCCGATGCCCCTGTCCTGCTGCATTTCCCGTTGGTCAATGCCTCCTTCAAGGACCACTCCGCCCCAGGTAAAGCAGCCCCTCCCTCCAGAACATCCTGGCAGCCTGGCCCCTCTTGGCAATGCCCTGGGCCCTCCCCAGTGCCCCTGTGTCCAGCAGAGGGTGAGGAGAGTCTTAAGGTTAGTCTTCCCCTCCAGTTTTGGACACAATAGTGTCCTGGTGTCTGTTTCGGATGCCCGATGCCTGCATATTTGCAGGGGCCCCCTGTTTGCAAAGTCATCATGCTGCTGTGCTTTGTTATGACCCCAGCTCCTTTACCCACCCACCCCCAAATTCCCCTAGCTACACCTGGGCCACTCAGTTCTCTTGCTTCATGGGTTGGAGTTTGAAGGACCCCTGCATCTAGACGCAGCCTGCATTGTCGCCATCTGCAGCCACCTCCACAGCTGCCCAGGCACCAGGTGGCTGGAGGGCTTCATGAGCACTCTCCAGGTTAGAGAGCCAGGGCGAGAGGCCCAGGCCCACTCTCCCAGAGTCCCCTACACTAGGGGTTTCACCTGGCATCTGTCACCCTACCCCACCCCAGGCCAGGGTCCTTTCTTAGCGAGCTGAGCCTCTTTCTGGGACCCCTGAAATCAAAACTCTTCCCATATTTCTTTCAATCCTTGCTTTCCACCAACTGGTCAGATTTTCTCTCCTTTTGGTAGGAAAACCAAATTTCTGCCTTTTTGCTTTATTCCTGGTTTTCTCCCTCTCACCATAACTCCCAATCTTCCAACTGTACTCTTAACATGGTCAGTACACATCTTGGAATTCTGTGCTTCTCTCAGCAAAGACTGTTTTTTTTGCAAAGCAAGAGTCCTGTGGTTTTCAGCCTCTTGTTTCCATCATTGGTGAGAATCCATTCACTAGCCTATTGACCTTGTCCTGGCTGTTTCCAGCCTGCCCCCAAAGGTGCTGTAGATATCTGAGATTACCTGAGCAGTGGGAGAAGTGTAATGCTGTGAGGAAGTAGCAAACTCTTTACATCTCAAAATAGTATCCTACTCTCCACATGTATACTTCTGGGCAAAGGACACAGAAGGCTGGGAGAGAAGCAAGGAGCTGCTTCAGTGGGGAGAGCCCACCCCTGTGCACAGGTGCAAGGCTTAGTTCTACCCAGCTGTGGAGGCCTCTGGGTGATGCTCCTTACCTCCTCCCTCCCCTGAGCAGGTGTCCAGCGCAGCCCTGAGGAGCTACCAGCTGGCCAGGTGGACCTCACCGGGGCCACCTCACCCTACGCCATGTTCAACATGACCTACAAGGAGGAAGACTTTGACCGCCTGCTGCAACTCAGCGATTACAATGTTCAGAACAGCCAGGACACCATCCTACAGGCCTTGAGGACGGTCCTGAAGCGCCAGCCCCAGGGGGACAGACTTCCAGGGGCACAGTCTTGAGGCTGCTCAGGGGCCCCAGCACCCCGAGGACCAGGCTGTTTTCCAAAGCAGCTGCACAATGCATTCTGCACTCCTGTCAGCACTGTACGAGGGTTCCAGTTCCTCCACCCTCGCCATACTTGTCATTGCTGTCTCTTTTATAACTATAAATTATAGTTATCCTAGACAGTATGAAGGGGTATCTCCTCTGCATCTCTCTGGTGACTCATGCTGTTAAGAATCATTTCACATACTTACTGGCCTTTTATATATCTTCTTTAGAGGTATATGACATTTTACATGTCTTCAAATTTTTTGACCATTTTAATTGAGGTATTTTTCTTTTTATTGTTACATTGTAAGAGTTCTTTATGTATTCTACATAGAAATGCCAGATCCGATGTATGATTTCCAGTGTTTTTCTCCATCTGCGGGTTGTCTTTTTACTTTGTCGATGATATCCTTTGAAGCACAGAAGTTTTTCACTTTGACGATACCCACCTTGTCCATATTTTCTTTTGTTGCTTGTGTCTTTGTTGTCATATTTAAGAAACCACTTCCTAACCCAAGGTCATGAAGGTTTACACCTGTAGCTTTAGTCTTTTGTTTATGTCTTTGATCCATTTTGAGTTACCTTTTGTAAGTGATGTGAAGTATAGGTTTGACTTCATGCTTCTGCACATGGGCATCCAGTTATTTCAGCGCCATTTGTTGCAAATGCTGTTCTTGCCCCCACTGAGTTGTCCTGAGGCCCCTGTTGAAAATCCATTAGCTGTAAATGTGAGGGTTATTTCTGGACTCTGATTCTGTTTCATTGATCTACTTGTCTGTCATTTTGCTGATACCATATTGTCTTGATTTCTGTAGCTTTATAGTACGTTTTGAAATCAGGAAGTATGAGTCCTCCAAATTTGTTCATTTTCCAGATTATATTAGCGATTAAATTTCCATATGAGTATTAAGACTAGGTTGTCAAATTGTGCAAAGAAGACAGCTGGGATTTCAGTGGTGATTGAATCTATAGATGAATTTTGGGGGCATTGCCATTTTAACAATTGAACATCTTCTGATTCATGAACATGTGATGTCTTTCTGTTTATTTAGGTCTTCTTTAACTTCCTTCAACAATGTACAAATCTTGAATGTCTTTGATTAAATTCTTAAGTATTTTATTTTCTTTGATTCTATTTTAAATTGAATTAATTTTCTTAATTTTATTTTTGGATTGTTCATTGCTATTATAAAGAAATACAATTTTTATATTGATCTTATAGCTTATAACCTTGCTGACCTTGTTTATTAGCTCTAACAGGCTTTTTTTACTCCTTAGAATTTTCTACATATAAGAAGATCATGTCACCTGCAAAGAGATGGTTTTTACTTCTTTTTAATCTGAATGCCTTTTATTTCTTTTTCTTGTCTCAGCCAGAACCTTCCATATAATTTTAAATAGGAGTGGCAGACATCCTTGTTGGATCCGATATTGGAAGGAAAGCATTCAACCTGGAATCATCGAGTATGACATTAGCTGTGGTTTTTTCTTAGACACTCTTCGGCAGAGTGGGGAAGTTCCCATCTATTCCTAGTTTGCTGAGTGTTTTTATCATGAAAGGTGTTAAATATTGTCAAATGCTTTCTAGTGTCCCTTGATGTAACTATGATGTTTTTTCCCTTCTATGTGACATATTCCCTTTTATGTGACATATTAAAATAACTGATTTTGGGGTGCATTCCTGGGATAAATCCAGCTTAGTCATGATGCACAGGGGTGGGGAAGGGGTTGGCCAAAGTAGGTGTATAGTTGTGAGTACATGAAACACAGAGTTGATTCTTGTATTATTATTTATGAATTATTGTATTATTTTTCATATAAACAACTGTAAACCTACTTTTGCTCCACCCTGCATAATCCTTTTTATGTGTTGCTGCCACACTCACTTATGACCTCTCACACTCAAAGGGACACACACACACTCACACTGTGGCTGCCCTGACCCCAGGTGGGTATCACAGTGACAGAGCCTGGCTCTGGGACTGTCCTCATCTGATGACCCCTCCTCAGGACCATATTCCCTCTGCCTTTTATGTATATGGCTTTATTCGGATTCTACATTTCCTCCATTTTATCAGAAGCACTTGTTTCTCAGTAATGTTGATGGTCTGTACTGGCTGGAGCAGGGAAAAACACTCCTGTACGCCTCCTTCGCTGCTTACACAGAACACTTCGGTGCTTCTGGCCACCATAGGAGCAGGCTCTTCTCCAACACCAAGTAATCCTCAGCTGGATGCCCTATAATTCAATTACATTCTGACACTGTCTACTTGGAGGTAGCATCAGATCCCACAAGTTAAGAGATTAGTCCCACAAGACTGCTTCCACTTCAGATGCCAGTTGCAAGTCCCAGGTTGTCATCTGTACTTCTTACCAACTGGCTATAAATTGGGGTCCTCCCTGGGTTTAGTAATTTGCTAGAATGGCTCATAGAACTCAGAGAAACACTGACGTTTACCAACTCATTAAAAGATATGGTAAAGGATACAGATGAACAGCCAGACAAAGAGGCACATAGAGAGAGGTCTGGAAGGGTCCCAAGTGCAGGAGCTCCTGTCCCCATGGAGTTGGGATATGTCATCCTCCTGGTGTGGAGGTGTTAACCAACCTGGAAGCTCCCTGAACCACATACTAGTGGGATGTTTATGGAGGCCTTGTCACATGCGCATGACCGAGTATTAGCTCTATTTCCAGCCCTGCTGCCCTCTTAGGAGAGTAGGGAGTGGGGCTGAAAGCTCCAAGCTTCCCATTAAGGCTTCGTTCTTTCCAGGGACTAGCTCCGAACCAGAATCCCACCAAGAGTCATCTCATTAGAAAAAAGATAGTCCTGTTACCCAAGAAATTCCATAGAACTTGGTGTTGGATGCTCCTGTCGCTCGGGAAACTACAAAGGTCTCAGGAACCCTGCGTCAGTCAGGAAGAGGGGCTGAGGAGTCAACACCGGAACAAATGCTCTCCCAGCACCCCTTTTCATGGGGGTCTCGGGAACTCTGCGTCAACAACCAGGAACAGAAGCAAACATATATTTCTTATTATTTTATACAACTATTGTGTTTTATTTTATGCCGGGCATTTTTCATTATTTCCCTTAATTCTCGCAGCTGCCTAAATATGTTCAGTAGAATTATCGTCCTCACTATATCACCAATGAAACTCAGGGTGTGGGGGAAAAAAAGCCAGCCCCCAACTAGGTCTGCGGGGAGCTGACCTGACCCTGGCTGCCGGCCTCGCCAGCACACTTCCACAGGCCCCAGCGTAGGACGAAGGCATCACAACGCCACGGCGATGCAGCCAGATGGAAAGAAGCCGCTGTGAGGCACGTCTGAGCACAGATGAAACAAGACCACCCTGAAACGACCCGAACGACCAGGCTCTGCCCTCTCCTGTTCAGCACGGGAGTGCTGCCTCTCTACCAAATGTGGATTAAAATTAAGATACCCAGTCACGGAACTGCCCTCACATTCTGACAGCACCCAATCCAGACCAACACTTGGCTTCCTTGAACATTCTGTAAATCACCTCACACAAACCCAAATCTGACAATAAACCCCTTCCACCCCTTCTGGACCCCACCCCTGTACATCACTTCCTTTGGCTGCTTTTAATCTGTACCCTTTCACTATAAATGTGTGTGTGTGAGTGTATATATACCAAAGCTGTAATATTAGGTATAGAGCTTTCCTGAGTTCTGTGAGTTGTTCTAGCAAATTATCAAACCTAAAGGTGGTTCTGGGGGATGCCCAGAATTTGTAGCCAGCTGGTCTGAAGAGACGGTGGGTGGTCCTGGGGGCCCCTCACCTTGCAGCTGGTACGTGGAGGGAGGGCTGTCTAGTGGGCTGTCCCTGAAGACTGCACCATTTGGAAAGATCCCTGGAAAGTGGGGACAGAAGTCCTGGACAGACCTGGCACTCTGGGGGACTGTGTCCTCAGCCTTGCAATTTAATGGACTCAGGGCACCTGAACTATGAAGATTGAGGGGAGCACAAGCAGAAAAAAATGACTCATTCAATTTGGGAAGCTTTCAGTAAAGCCAAAGGACACTCAAGAGTACTGTACAGCCCCAGAGTCTGTGGGGCTGAGGCCTAAGGCCACACCCGGTGCATGAGTGTGCATGTGAGCGAGTTTGTCTCTCCCGCACCCTCTGACGAGCTTCTGTTACCCCAGGCCCCCTGAGGCCCCAAGGGCCAGGAGGCCCTGGCAGCCCCACCCCCATCTGGGTGAGGACTGTGACTCTGGCAGCTGTCAGGCGCCACCCACGGGGTCCTTGTGGATTGCACAAGGCTCTTCCCCTGGGCCCCTCCTCAGCCAGGCTGGAGCCCGCGGTAGAGACAGGAAGGCCCCACTGGCTGTGTCACCACACCTGGAAGGCGGCTAGCGCTGCGCTCCCTGCCCAGCACAGGCAGTGGCAGTGGGAATGGCGAGCAAAGGGGGAACTGAGAGACATTTCTTTTTCCTGATCAGGTTGGATTTATCTCAACGATGTAAGAATGGTTTTATATTATGAAACTTACACGTCTTATTGAACAATACAGAGACCGAATGAGAATCTTAATATAAAAGTAATGGCTCAAGATTTATGTAAAGCTCTTTAAAAACTAGAAATAGAAGGACATATACTTAACCTAATGCAAGTTATCTGTGATGGTTAATTTTATATTTCAACTTGGCAGGGCCACAATGCCCAGAGATTTGGTCAAACAGTATTCTAGATATTTCTATGAAGGTGTTCTTTAAAATAAGATCAACATTTAAATTGATGGACTTTGAACACTGGTTCAAGTGTAAAGTATGTTCTGGGTTGTAGCACTTGGCAATAACTCCTGGTTTGAAAAACTGGCAATGAGCTTCTAGGAGTCGTGGTTACAGTTCAGGCAGCTGCCATCAGGGGGTGCGTGGCGCCACGACAGCCGGCAGGACGAAGGGCAGCGTGGCGCAGTGGGCCCCTAAGTGCGCAGAACATACTCATCGCTCTGTAAGCCTTTCCACAAAATACACTTCAAAACTCACATAGCAATATCAAATATTAATTAGGACATAATTCAGAGCAAAGTTTAGAGATCAATGCCTGGGTAAAGCCTCTCACTGACTAGTATCACCATCC